CTCTGAGCTGCATCACCATGACTATTGTAAGATTATCTCCAAAAATCCCGCAATTTCTTGATCCATTCTGTGTTATCTTCTCCAGACGATTTGTTGTGATAATAACTACATTTGGCATGATAAGCTCTTAGAACATTCATTGTACTCTTTATCATCCTGATTTTCACCACCTGATATTCCAGCATCCAGTCTTAACCACTCAGCTATTGAAATAGAAAGATCCAACAATCAATTACCATATCGGAAGAGCCGTCGAAGTAGTAAATCCTGGGTTGATATCTGACCTCTTACAGATTTTACCCTGATACTGGAAGGTGCATCGTGATCAGGAATGCCTGACTGTATTTTCAGCCATTCGATCATGAGGGCTTCTGTATTGTCGAGTGCAAACAAGGCCAGATCTCTAGCGGCCACATACTCTGACCCGATATCACTATGACAGGAACTAGCCGGATGCCAACCAGTTCTGCCGGACGAACTCGACAAGTTCAAATGGAATGACACATCAACAAGTAACCAAGGTTAGCAGCACAAGCAGAAGATGGCTGGATTATAATATTAAGAATACAATGTAATACTAGTAGTAGCAATTACAATGTAATCCAAAAGGATAGGATAGCTTTAGGCTATGAATCTCTATGTAACTTGAGGTTACAACTCTCCAAATGTTTCTCACAATTTTCTCGATACCCCCTTACATGCTCAACAGCTTCATTATATATTACAATCTAAAAATAGTTACTACAAAAGTTGGGAAAGCATTAGTCTAAAGTTATGTTTCCAAAATGGTGAAAGGCACATTCAGATGTCATGCCTTGCTGATTATAGATGCCTTCCAAAAAGTAGTGCAGCCTTCATGCTTGGTCTTCTTTCACTTTTATTGCTAAGCCTATCTCGATGTTGCTACTGCTTTGCTTGAGGTGGTTGTGACTGATGATCTATCACACACTACCGGTCGGTCTTGAACCAAAGTAGTCACAACCCTGAACATATGGATGCCCCTCAACTCAGTCTTGGCATTAGATTTATGCTGAAAAGAGGCAGACCTACAGCACAAGTTAGCATAATTAAAAATAAATTCTGAAAACAACCTAGAAATGAAAAAATTAACAGATTAAAAAAAGAGCGTACCTTTCATAGGATATATGTACAATTGCAAGGAAATGTTACTTAACTTTCCGCCTCCGTTTCATGCATCAGCTTCAAAATCTTTTTTTTATTCTCTTCGACAAATTTATTATCTGCCTTAAAATTATTTTCACATTTACCCTCTAGCCTTGCATCACGTGACCCTCTTTGCACAATCTCAAGCAAAATTTCTATGGATTCTAATCCAACTAATATTTTGCCATCATCCGAAATCACTGGCAAAGATTTCACATCATTCAAAATCACAGTAGATTTAGGACATTTGATAATACCAAGGAGTTCCTTAAACTTAATAGGATCGGAAACATCATCACAGACTTCCCACTTTTTGGGATTCCATCCATATCCAAGGTCAAACATTATCCACATGCGACTCAGTTTAACCCAATCATTTATGAGCCCACGTTGAAGGTCATTAAGTTTATAAGACTTTTCCACATTTTGTAATACCTTATACATTACTTTCAGAATCTCATTAAACCTAATACTCTCAGAAATCACAACACAGAGTAGTTTGTAATACTTTTCTGTATCCTCCATCTCAGTTTTAGCTCCATTGAATATTCTAATGATACATTCATGAACCAAACTAGCACTAAACTCAACAGGAAGTGGGTCATAGTTACTTTCAAAATAAAGCATTTTTGCACTCGTAAATCGAAAACCAAATTCCTCAAAATCCTTTACTTTCCACCAATTTCCCCCAACCCCTACAGCCAACATATAAATTGAAGGTTTGTGTACCAAAATATCAACTAAAAAGTTCTCTCCTAAACATAGGGTCACTATGAGAAAACACCCTTCTTTATAATCAATTGATTCTCCACATTTCAATTGGGGCATATCTTTCTTTACATTACACTTATGACCCATATAACCGATACAAAACCTAGAAGACATAATCATCTCAATCAATTCCCAAGGAGCATTAGAATGCTCAAGATCTAAAAAGAACTTATCTTTATCGGAAACTTGATTTGGATGAAAATCCTCTTTCTCTACAACTTTTCCTTGAACACTTTTACTCGTTTCTCCTCCATCTTTTTTCCGCCCCATTTGTTCAAATTCACTCTGTTACACAAAACGGGAAAAATGATAAAAGAGAAAATAAAATTAGGTCTAGCAAGTATCTTGACTCTCAAATAGACTGCCTGCCAAAAAGAAACCATGTTGTGACAGTGACAAGCAAAATTAAAATACAATCCGAAGACATGTTCCTTTAGTAATTTATTTTCTTACATATAAATCCTAACATCATAAATGGTACTATTGGAATTAAAATCGTGTATTCTTATTCAACAGTTTTTTAGTTTAGTTCGTGCACAGTTTAAAGGCTAGAGAAAACTCGACAAAATAAGCAACAGTCAGTTTAAGTAGATAAAACAAATCAAAATTAGGTTCAAAAGCTTCATGGAGTGAATTACTAGAACTCAAGTTCAAGATATTTTCCCTGATAACAGAAGGTGCTGGCATTAACTTGAGGCACAACACAAACTGAAATACATTCCAAAACAATGTAAAATTCACCAATGCAGAAATATCACACAAGCAATCATAAGAACTATAACTCACAATTAATAAAGAAGTTTAGTGTCACCACATTATTAATGTAGTGCAAGTAATTCGACAGGCCCAAAGCCAAATCTTCTTTAGTACATAAATATACATAGAGATGGGGTAGCAGGCAAATTAGCATTTTTAGTGATATCCTATTCTATGTCATTACTTCTGTCCTGATATATTTGGTACTACCACAACATCCGCAATTACAAAATAACATTAGTGATTGATTTTAAGCTGGTGAAATGTTTAGGTGTAGTGGAGTTAAAGGGGGACATGATCATTCCAGACCCCCTACTGGGACTTAGGTTAGGTAAAATCAGGTCAATAAAACTAAACACAAGGAGCACCTACATGGATTTAAATTTCATTAGCTTCTGACCAAGTATGTATCCATGACAAAACAGAATTAACTTAGAAACTATATATCCTAGTTGCATTGCATTGTAAATAACTTCTATCTTCTTCCATGACATTTGCCAGAAATGAGAAACACTAACGAGTTTCCTTCCTTCCTCGGTTTATTAGATATTTAAATTATATATATCTTGCGAAAACTAAAAGGCATGTTCACATGAACTTGATATGAACCATGGTGAAAAAAACCCAAATTAAAAATGAGGCCATTACATTGACAAAAAAACTCAGCAAAAACGAAAAAACAGAAGAAAGAATGAAAACAAACCTGAATTAGGCCCAATTTACAAATATTTTAGGATTAGGAGATTTATGGAGCTTAAAGTCGTATATTGGGCTTGAATTTGTGAATTATACAACACAAAAAACAGAGAAAAAAACAATATACCTAAGAAAAACTAACCTCAACATCTACCATAGCCCATAGGTCCATAGCCATGGAGGTGAGAGTGAGTTGTGGGCAGTGGAAGGGAAATTAGTGTTGGTGTGGCTGGGTAGTTCTGTAGTTGTTTAAGGTTTTGGGGTATGTGGGAACAAAGTTGTCTTTTCAACTTATTTACTTCAAATTTGTTTATTGAAATATACTTACTTCAATCTATTAGACCACTGAGCTGCCTGGTTTTATTCAACAAGAGGGGACATGGAATTGTTTTATCAGTTCCTGTGCATACCAGTTGCCAGTGAGAATGCTCTTACTTGTTATGACAGAGAAGGCTATAACAATATATTGGAAAATGCTAAGCCTCATGATCATAGAAATTTACATAGGTTAACAAAATTCTTTCAAATTGATCATATGCTCTGAATTCACTGACAATGTTCATATAAAATCAGATATATTAACAAATTTAAACATCAAAATCACCAAAATGATCATGCTTAATCCACATCACAATACATCATGCTTCACAATGTCACAAAATACAAACCTAATCGAATGGCAAAATTATCGAATACTCTGCCTCAGGAACATGATTTGAAGGACTGAAATGTGTACTTACAGAGATTAGTGAGTCCATTAAAAATTTTATAATTACATCAACCTATATAACCTAAACCCTTCGCAACATCTACATTTCACATAAATGACATACATAATAAACCTAGATGATGACAGAGATTTCTCTCAAAAACAGTCACAGGAACATCGAATACTCTGCCTCAGGAACATGATTTAAAGGACTGAAATGTGTACTTACAGAGATTAGTGAGTCCATTAAAAATTTTATAATTATATCAACCTATATAACCTAAACCCTTCACAACATCTACATTCCACATAAATGACATACATAATAAACCTAGATGATGAAGAGATTTCTCTCAAAAACAGTCACACTAATCAATTATACAGAAATAATTCCTCTTAATCAATCTTATTAAAATTATCACAATTTGAGCCAAAAATGCGCAACAAAAAAGCAAATGCTGACAATCAAACTTTAACAAAACGAAAACATGAATCAAAATTGAAGAACAGATTAAGAGAGAGAAACTGATGATACCTGAAAAGCTGAGAACTCTGAGTGCGCAGCAATGGAGGAGAGAGAAAGGTTTCTGGAAATTGTTACTGGGGTTAAGTCAGAGAAGGGGTGAGTGGGGCTGACCCTTAAACCATTATTATTGGGTTTTTATTTTGATTCTTAAATTCTTGGGCTCTAATTAAAATATAAAAGTTATAAAATAAGATCTTTATATTAGTACCAATAACTGGCCTACTTCAAAACTAAATTAACATTAGAAGCAAACTTAAGTAAGAAAAAACTACACAAAACCCTATAAAATAAGACAAAGCCCTGTCCACTAACATTGAAATGGTACCAGATAGTAAAGGCAAAGGGTTATGCATTCAAATGTTTCAGACAGGTTGCATCTTTTTTTTTTTTTTTTTTTTTTTTTTTTTTTTTTTTTTGTTGTTGTTGTGGTGATGCAACAACACTACGACAGGTTGCGTCTACATGCTGACACTGCTAGATCGAAATGAGACTAGTAGGCATGTCATGATATTAATAATACAGAGTACTGAAGCTCATATTCAAACCAATAATTAAATAAGTCCACAACAAGAAGACCTTAATTGGAATATTACCTGAAGCCCTGACCACCCTTTTTTTCTTGTCATTTGCTCTACCATCAGCCTCCAATATCCGCACCCACAACGTTTGCCGTTTTTTCTCACCATCGAAAAATGTCTTGGAAGCATAATATTTACTTCCATAATCATATCTCCAATCAGTAATACCTTCCATGAAGTCAGTATTGTCCACCTCAAATTCATTTGTTACGGCCTTATAAAAGCCCACGATCAAGAAAACTTGCCTTAAGAACAAATTTGGTGTTTTCCTTCATAAAATAGTTCTCTGCTCCATCTTTATTATCAATGCTCACAAGAAAGAAATCTGGACACTCCCACTTTCCGGTTTTTGCTGATAAGTGAAGAGACTTCACTTCTAGTCCAATTAGCAAAATCTTTACTCTGGCACAAAAATGCCATTTCTCAGCCATCTACCTTTCCGCCTATAAGAACGTGCCAAGCACCATCAGCAGCTTGCCAAGCAGTTGTAGGATCTCTGAAATTGCTAGAATCAATGTCACCATCTGTTTCAGCAATTACAGGATTATGAGGCGACTTAACCTTTTAGGTTAGATGGGGATCAGCGGGGTCCTTAGGGAATGCCAAATTCTGTGACTGAAAATTCTAAGTGTCTGCACCAGTATAGAAAATGACAGGTTTTCCTCCAGGGAGCATGGTGACAGACCTGGAGTAGCAGCAACCCAATTCATAAGGCTCGGTTGGGTTAAGGGCGTGTTCAATGTGAATCTAGTTGACAAGATCATGTGAGATTGAATGAACCCAAGTCATATTCCCCCATATAGCTGAGTAAGGATTATACTGATAGAACAGATGATAAACACACTTGTAGTATAATGGTCCTATACTTAAATACAGAGAACATCTCAATCAGTTTCATAACTTTATGATGCATAAACAACCAAAAGAGGATATGACATACCATTAGGATTTATGAGTTCATTAGCCCCGATACTTCAAACTCCTTTTTACTTAATTTCCCAACCAGGTCTTCAATTTGAACATTTCTAGATTCAGCGATCCCAGATATTTGACCGGCTTCTTCTGTATAAACCTTTTACTTGGCCTTCAAGGAAGCAAGTTTCTCCTTCAATTCTGTAACTTCAATCTGTCTGAGATAATTTTTCAACCATCTCTCTAATTTCAACTTCATTTGATTCAGCAATTCCCTCTGCTTCATGAGCCTTCTCTTCATACTTTTTCACTTGGCCTTCAAGAGCTACAAGTATTTCACTGAATTTCAGCCTCTTTATCAGCTAATTTAGCAACAGTCTCCTTTAACTGTTCTATCTCCGCCTCTCTAGACCCGGTTATCACAGATGCTTCACGAACCTCCTCCTCATATGCTTTCACTTGGTTTTCAAGGGCACTCAACCGTGCACCCAACTCCTCGACTTCCTTCTCTTTCTCAGCTAGTCTACCACTTGTTTCCTTCAACTGTTCTTCAGCCTGCAAATGACGAGCTTCAGCAGCAGAGTGCTGCTCAAAAGATCTCAAGTGTTGCTCAGTTAATTCAGTGATGGTATTCATGTGAGAGGCAAGTTGAAGAGAAGTGGCTTCTTTTTCTGCATCAGCCGAATTAAGCAATTCCAGAAGCTCATCAACCTTGTTCTTCGTCTGGGAGTTTTTTTCCACCAAAAGTTCCTTCTCTGAAAGAGATTGTGCCACTTTACCCTCAGCTTCCTCAATCATCTTTTTAAGCTCTTCATTAGAGCTTTCTAAGGAATCTACCTTAGCAACACTCTGATGCAATTCTTCTGTTAGAGATGCAGCCTTCAGTGCTTCTTCACCGACCTGTTCTTCTAAACTTTGTACCTTATCTTCAAGAATCTTAAATTTCTCAGACAATGAGTTAGCCTCAGACTCCTTTTCGCTGAAATTTGCCATTGTCTCCTGCATTTTTACCTCAAAGTCCCTAGTAGAAGACTCGTGTAAAGATTCAAAATGCATTTTACTTGCAGTTGCTTCCTCTATTGCTCTCACTTGCTCCTCTAATTGATCCTCAGCAGCTTTCAGCTTTTCCATAATTACACACACCCTTAGTCCAGAGCCCTTTAGATCATTTTCAATGCTTTCTAGTTTCTCCTGTGTAAGAGACAATTCACCACACAATGATTCAAGCAAATTTTCAGCTTCCCGAAGCTTTTTAGTGGAATTCTCCAATGCTTCTTCTGAACTTCGTTTCTCTACTTTCATTACATTCAAAGATTCCATCAGCCCCACTTCCTTTTCACTTGCTGTTTGAAGTGCACTCTCAAGGTTCAACATTAAAGATCGGAACTTCTCGATTTTTCCAGTGAGTTCAGATACCATGCCTGAATATTTTTTTGATTCAGCTTCGGGATCCCCGCATTTTTACTCCAGTGAGCTTATATTCACTTCAAGCTCTTCAATTTTCTGCTTCTTTTCTTCCAGCAGCGATTCAAGGTCACCCATGTTTTTCTCAGCAACCTCAATTATGGAGTGAGAAGATTTTACTACATTTTCTAATTCTGCTGCACGAGAAGGTAATTCTTGCTCCAACTCCTCTATTTTCTTCTTTGAGATTTTGGACTCAAGATTAAGACTTTCAAATGATTCTTTAACACCAGAAAAATCCTTTTGATTAGTTTCATGATCTTCCAAAGTATCTTGCAAAGACTTCGGCTTTTCATTGAAGTTATTTTCAGTCTCTACCATCTCCTCCTGCAACTTCTTGTGATTCGGTTCAAGAGTTTCATACTTCTTCCCACATTCTTGCAGCTTTACTTCAGTCGATAAGGCCTCATTTTTCAAATTTGCATTCTGTGACTCAGAATCGTTTAATGCAGCAGCCACTCTTTCTAATTCAGTCTCAAGCTCGTTTATCTACTCCAGTGCTTCAAGGACTTTTCTGCTAGATTCACTAACAGATGATTTGCTTTCTTCCACATTTACTTCAACATCTCGAAACCTATCTTTCATTTCCACAGGTTCTCTCTCGACCTTAATGAACTCTCCATCATCCAGAGAGCTTTCTTTTTCTTCTTTATTACCATTTTCCTGTTGCCAAACAAATTCAAGTTTTAGCTATATAAAATAAAAAATTAAAAAAATGATATTGCAGATACTTATAAGCTATATTTAACACAAATCTACCTCAATTGGCTCCGTAACACTAGCAAGCTTATCCTTGACTTCCACCACTAGCACCTCTATAGTTTGTTGAGTTTCATCTTCCATTAATAATCACAATACTTGACCTCAAGTCATTATTTCTGTCTTTTAACATGAAGTCACAAACAAGCATAAATAACTGCAATCAAATGGTGAATCAAATGATGGCAAAAGTTGAGAACTTCAGAGAGATGGCATAACTGAAATCAAATGGTGAAGCAAATGTTTCATGTGAAGCTACTCTTTACATGCATCATCAGGGGAAGACAGAATATAAAAGAGTCAAGGCAGCAAAGAGAGATGAGATCAAGATACAAGATCAACAGTTAGAATGAGTTCAACACATAAGGCAGCTCTTAAGCAACCAAACTAAGGAATCCATTTCAAAGAAAAATTGAGTCAAGAAATGTCTGAAGCAGAACGCCAGTTACTTTAATCCTCATGGCTAAATAAAAAGTCATCAAAAATAACGAAAATTAATTAGAAAGCATCTCATACCATAAGTAATCCATACAGGTTTACCATCTCATTATTATTCCCCATCAAGTCAGTCTGGCACTGCTACATTCTTCCAGTGTTCCACTTCTGTCTCTATTTCCATTCCAGCCATAATGTTCAAAGACCTGAACATTTTTCTGTTCATCAGAAACTACAAGGCTGAGTGTACTTCCATCGATCAGGAACTCGCTTGAAAAACAATCAAATGACCCAAAATCCTTTGCTAGCAAGCTAAGTTGAGAACCTTGTTCCTTCTAGTTGAGAAAATATATGCTTTCATGAATATCCCTGAAGAGAATAAAAAAAAATTACCTGCAACAGTCAAGAAATATATTGAAGAATCATTCTTTATATAAACATCAGTTCTCTATTTCAGAAGGTATTGAAAAGCAATTAGAGATGAAAAAGAAAAATAAAATTATGATTCATAATACTCAAAAAAAAAGATACAGAGTCCTTCGAATCTAATATCTACTATCTAAATTTTGTGAAATATCAAATCACATCGAAAAAAATATGCACAAAAAAAACAAAGTAGACAAGAAAATTACCCCCGCCAACATAAATAATCAAGAAATATATTGAAGAGACATTCTTTATATACACCTAAGTTCTCTATTTTAGAAGGTATTGAAAAATAATTAAAGATGTAAAAAAAATTATGATTCATAATACCAAAAAAAAAAAAAAAAAAAAAAAACTGTAAAATATATAGAAAAAGATAAAAGTGTAGTTCGTATCTAAAATCTACTATCTAAATTTGTAAAATATCAAATCACATAGAAAAATATGCACAAGAAAATTACTCTTGCCAAAATCTAGCAATGAACCATGGAACTAACATTTCTACCACCAAAATTGATTTTATAACTTCATAATTGGAAAAAAAACCTGAACTTGCAAAGAACACCATAAACTCGAAATTCATCCTCAAGCTCGCATTTGGTAACTTACCACGCTTCCCCTTGCTGCCCCTACTCCCAACCGAGCCACCGCGCAGCAGCCAATCAGCCGCCCAAACTCCTACTTCCCTCAAACACCCAAAATCGCAACAATCAGCTAGCTACACACAATTCTCCTCTTACTTGTTATGCTGCACTCCAACCATAACACTGACACGACAAGCACCACAATCTGAAGGGAATGGTGGCTTAACATATGTAGAGGTAAGCCTGCAAATAGAAAAGAAGCTAAAATAAAATAAGAAAAATTAAAAAAAAAAAAAAATGTACGAGTTAAGTACAAATACAATCTCTAAAGTTTAAACCATTGCATTTAATCTCTCACCTTTTAAATGAGGCAAATTGGTCCATTAACCACCAGGGAAAGCAATTTCCAGCCAATAACTGTTGATGTGGCAATAGGTTTAGGGACCTTTAAATATTATTTGTCATATAATTTACATATATTCTAGAAATAGTTTAAGGACTTGTCCGATTTAATTGAATAAGCTAAGATTGCGTGTGTGTGCGCAATTTAAGAAACTTATTAGGCTCATTCTCTTCTTTATTCTAATAGAATACAATAAATATTAGTGATGCAAATTTTAAAATTGTTGATAATAAAAATAAATATAAGTAAAAAAATTATAAAATAAAAATTGGTTTAAAAAATAAAAACATCTGATGAAGTCATAGAGTATTTTCTTTAATTGAATAATTAAAAAAAAAACGGTTGATAAGTACTTGTATAATTGTATTTTATCCTAAAAGTTAGATTCGGATGGTACTTTTTTTTCAATTTAGGATGGTTGTTCTTAAAAAAAAAAAAAAAAAAAAAAAAAAAAAAAACAAAAAAAAAAAAAGGTAAGAAGGAGTAATCTGGCAAATTGACATTTATCACCCAAAATCTCTCTTCACTTTATATATTAGATAAATAGAATAGTTTAGGGTAAGTTGGCAAATGTAATGATGTTGAAAATAGTTTAGGGATCGGGTTGACACGCGGCGCAATCAAATTGGGAATGGTGGCTTAACATATGTAGAGGTAAGCCTGCAAATAGAAAAGAAGATAAAATAAAGTAGTAACTTAGTAAGGCTCAAAGAAAATGGTAGTCAATGCATGGAAGTATTAGAAGTGTATGTGAATTGCTATCTACTCATCTGTAACTCATAAGCATAAACTATCAATCAGGTGCATTATCATATAGCTTAATATGAAACCATTTGGGAAGAAGAGAGAGATGACCCAATTTCAAAAACCAAATATTCAAGTCAAGTAAAATAGATATATTCATCAAACTTCATGAAAAGCTCTTAAACAGAGTTTATGTTCATAAATATACCCATTCAAAACCATTAAATCAATGAGCTCCAATGGAAACTGAGAACTGAGCCTCAAATGAGTCATAACTAATCCTAGGATCATTTTCGAATGTGTTAGTTTAAATTAAACAAGAAATCTTGGAAAATTTTCACAAAATGGTTGAGTCGGACACTTGGACACGTAACCGTGTCGGCCATGGGTACCCGAGTCCGAGAATCATAGGCAATATGTGAACATTATCTTCAACAAATAACCAATTATTCACAGCAATATATAAACAATTTACCAACACAGCAAAACAATTTACCAACACAATTTTCATCAAAATTTAAATTATAATTACATAGATAGAACTGAAAACAATCTATGAATCGCGACACTATTCACAGCAATAAACCAGCACTCCAGCAGCGCTCTTGATCAAAAGACAGGAACAAACATTGCTGGAAGAAGAATAAAATTACGAGCATATAATAAACCAACAAAAAAAAGGGGGGGGGGGGGGGGAGATTACCAGTAGGTCGATTTCTTCCTGCACATGTATTTGCTCAATCTCCCTACTCATTCAAACAAATTAATAAGGTTGAAAGTATATTGTAGTCAAGAAAGCAGTAACAAAACAAAGTTCTGATTGATCCATATGCTTTTCAAAAGCCATACGATGAAATTTTTAGCATTGAGAACTGAGAAGTATACACCAGGAAGGACATAATTGTACCTAATTTGATACCACTCTATTTGCTGGTGGCTTGATAAAGCCATTTTCAGGTGAATTGACAAGATCTTGAACTCATTTCAGAAACTTGAGTCATGACAGATTTACCACCATTCTCAACATGCCAAAAAATCATAATGATGAAATTTATGCAGCAAAACAGGGACAAATGGCTTACATGTTATAATGTAAGAATTAAGCACCACCAAAAGAATTTTCAGTTAAGCCAAGGATGACAGAAGATGAGCAGAAGAGCAGAGCAAAGAATGAGCACAATTGAAAACAACTACTCATAATTAAACAATGTTTATCTACTCATTCTTTCTAAATTTTATCCAAATTCTAGTTGAGAAGGAAATTAAAGTTCACTTCTACAGAAAAAACTCCAGAAATATATCATCAAAGAAAAAAAAATATATTCCAGAACAAACTACAAAATTTTCTTCTACAGATCAGTTACGATTAATCAAAGTTCATTTAGAATCATTAGATAGAAGAACGTAGAGAACAAATATATTGTAAGAGTAAAATTAACTTTCAGTGATTAGGCATCCAGGACCATAGATACCAGTTGGGTGGAACAAAAGGCAAGGCAAGGCAAGGCAGAGAATCTCCGATCATCCAACATGCAGAGAATCTCCGATCATCCAGCATGCATACCGGCGATGGTTGTTGGTTGGTCACCGTCAAAGGAGAGAGAAAGAGAGAACAAAATCGCCGGCGGAGGTCTATGGGAGGGCCTTGAAACTCCGTCATCGCCGGCGCTTTCGTCGGTGAGCCGGGGTTTGTGTTTGGTGGGTATTTACAAGGAGAGAGAGAAGGCAGAGCTTTGAGAGATTCCTCATACACATCTGTTACAGCAAATGCCATCCCAACAAAAATCTTTTCACTTCTAGATCTGAAATTTGGAACTCAACTCAAAGTCAAAAGAAAAAAAAAACCCTAAGTACACTTTATCTGTCCGTTTATAGCAAAATCTAGGGTTCTGCAACTTTTGTTTTTTCACTTATTTTTCTTTTTATATTTTATTACTACTATGCTGTACTACACTACTACGTATATTATTATCTGTCCAATCTCCATTGGACTGTATTTTATACCATACTACATATATTATACTCCTCCGCCCACGAATATCTGCAACAAAGTACAAATGGGTGGACTCCTAGGTAAAACTTTTAGGGAATATTAAGTGTAGTTGGGTGGGTTTAATTAATGAGAGAGAAAAGTAAAAATACAAAATTACCCATATGATGATATATATAAACTAAACATTTAAGTGTTGAAAAATAAGGGTATATTTGGTATTTGTAGTGTGAACACAAATATTTGTAGTGGGTTTTAGGTAGTGGGTAATAGGTGGTGGAGAGGACCACTAACCAAAAAGTGAGTAATAGTGGGTAATTAATAGTTAAATATTACCAAAAAAAGGAAAGAAAAAAATTTGTTGCAGATACTCCAAGCATCCAAATTTGGCAAATGTTGCAGATATTCGTGGGCGGAGGTAGTACAATACTTTGTATATCTATATGACATATGAAGTATGTATGAGTACCTAACACGCTAACCCATGCCGGGCGGACCCGTGAGAGGTTTCAGCCCAATAGGGGTCTTCTCCTTACCAACCAAAATAAGAAAATTAAAAAAAAGAAACGTACGAGTTAAGTACAAATACAATCTCTAAAGTCTAAACCATTGCATTTGTAGCATTTTAATCCCTCACCTTTTAAATGAGGCAAATTGGTCCATTAACCCACCAGGAAAAGCAATTTCCAGCCAATAACCGTTGATGTGGCAATGGGTTTAGGGACCTTTAAATAATATATATTCTAGAAATAGTTTAAGGACTTGTCCGATTTAATTGAATAAGCTAAGATTGCGTGTGTGTGCGCAATTTGAGAAACTTATTAGGCTCATTCTCTTCTTTATTCTAATAGAATACAATAAATATTAGTGATGCAAATTTTAAAATTGTTGATAATAAAAATAAATATTAGTAAAAAAATTATAAAATAAAAATTGTTTTAAAAAATAAAAACATCTGATGAAGTCATAGAGTATTTTCTTTAATTGAATAATTAAAAAAAAAACGGTTGATAAGTACTTGTATAATTGTATTTTATCCTAAAAGTTAGATTCGGATGGTACTTTTTTTTCAATTTAGGATGGTTGTTCTTAAAAAAAAAAAAAAAAAAAAAAAAAAAAAAAAAAAAAAAAAAAAGGTAAGGAGTAATCTGGCAAATTGACATTTATCACCCAAAATCTCTCTTCACTTTATATATTAGATAAATAGAATAGTTTAGGGTAAGTTGGCAAATATAATGATGTTGAAAAATAGTTTAGGGATCGGGTTGACACGCGGCGCAATCAAATTGAATCAATAGCTACATTAATAAAAATTGTCATTTTACATTGCATTTCCCCAAGTTGATTGTTCATTTGGTGTAGAGGTGATCAAAAATCGGGTCGGACCGAGCCTTAACGTAATTTCTCGTGCCCAAACCCACAAAAAAGTAGCGGGCTTATCAGGCCAAAGCGAGCTTTTTGGGCTTTTTTCGGGCTAGGTTCGGGTTTTTAACTAAAAATGTATTTTTAATTTTTTTCATACTTGTCCAAAGCCGCCCTATTTTCGGGCCGGATCCGACCGGGCTAGCGAGCCTGATCAATGTTGATCACCTCTAATTTGGCGGGATAAAAATCATCAGAAGCTTCTTTATATACTCATACTCCAAAAGACTCCCACAAGTTACTTTACATCTCAACTCAAACTTAAACTCAAAAACACGAGCTCCATTGTTATGTCTGGGTGGGAATTTGGAGAAGCATATAAGTCAAAGAAGAGGAAAATCACGCGACTACATTAACATCATTTCAAGGTATATTCACACTCATTTTCTATTTTTTCATTTTTAATACTTTATTTTTATTCTATTGTCTTTCCTAATTTTCAAGACTAGACAATATTGCATTTTTTTCATTGCATAAATTTTTTTTAAGTCAACCAATCAATCAATAATCAATATAGTTAAATTTCTCTATTTTTGTCATGTATATAAATCACGTACAGATTTTTTTTAGGAAAAATTCATGGGAATAATCCCACCTTTGGGCCGTTCGTTTTTAATAATCCCACCTTTGGATTATTTTTAAATAATCCCACCTTTACCCCCCCATTCTTTTTTAATGGTCCCAACCGGTCATGTAACCTGTTATAACAGGTTACATGACACGTGACGGCCTGTGAATGGGAAAAAAAAATTAAAAAGTTAGATTTTTTAAAAGAAAAAAATAAAAAAAATAAAAATAAAAATAAAATAACCACCCAGCCCCCAACCACAGCACCGACACCGGCGTCGGTGCGCGACGATCCCCTCCCTGATCTGAGGAGATTTCAACTAAGGTGGGGGTATGGGTGAAGGTGGCTGAGGTCGCAGTTCAGGTAGGGTGATGAGGTGGTGGTTTCGGTTCAATTGGTAAAGGCAATAGTAGTTTGGTAGGTGGTCTCGGGTTGGGGTATGGGTGAAGGTGGCTAAGGTGGTGGACTAGTGGTGAACTAGAAACCCAACCCTAACCCTAAACGCCTTTTCCGTCCCGATTCCGGGTCCCCCTTCCCCCGTTCCAATTCCGGCAACTCTCCCCTTCCCCCGAACCTATTCTAGCCTCCCTCCCCTTTCCCCTGCTCGAGTTTTGCCACCCACACATTCCCCCGCCACGATTTCAGCCTCCCTCACTTTCCCCTACCTCAATTTAGGCTGGCCGGACCACCCAAAATAGCGACGATGACGACGTGAGCTTCGATCTCATGGTTGGGGCTGGGGAAGAAGGTGGCTGGGGCTAGTGGACGACAACAACGCGGTGGCTGGGACTTGTGGAGGAGGTGGCTGGCTTACTGCCGTTTTTTTGTTTTTTTTTTTTTATTTTTGTTTTTTAATATAAAATTTTAGACTAATTGTTATAGTGACACGTGTATTTTAAACCAAAAAAAAAAATTACCTCTTCAACCGGTTACTAGTCACCCGTGACCATTAAAAAAGAATGGGGGGTAAAGGTGGGATTATTTAAAAAATAATCCAAAGGTGGGATTATTAAAAACGAACAGCCCAAATGTGGGATTATTCCCATGAATTTTCCTTTTTTTATTGCCTGAGCTGAATTGTTTTTAAGTTTTTCTAAAATAAAATTAAGTGAATGAGGGTGTTTTGGATAGTCTATAATTTGAACACCAACTTTTACTCGGGATATTTTGACTTTTGCTACCACTAAAATGCACAATTTTGAATTTTACTACCCATCTAAATTTTTATTTGATTTTACTACCACCCAAAATCAAAAAATTTAAATTTTACTACGGAAGATGCTCCAAAGTAAGTTTAATTACGAAACTAATTACGAAAGTAGACGTGTGGCAAAAGTATTTACCAAACTAAGCTTTTGGGGTAAAACGATGTCTCGGACAGCGTTTTATATATTGGTTTTTTTTTATAAATAATACATAATTTCAGAATTCCTTTTAGAAATTAAAAATTTCCAAATTTCCAAAAAAAAAAAAAAAAATAGTACATAAAACGCTGTCCCAGGCAGCGTTTTATGTACTAAATGAAATTTGGGAAAAAAAAATTATAAGTATGTAAAACACTGACCCATAAGCGTGCGGTATGCAACTTTATAGGAAAACGAAAGTTGTAAATGATCATAGAATAAAAAATACGAATGCCCTCAATTAGTGTGAGTACTCGTTTTCACACGGAAAATCGAGATCTACGAGAATACGCGGTCCACGTCGTCCAATTCTGTCGGGTTTGAGACGATTTAGGAGAATTTTGAGGGTTAGGAAACTCGAGAGGTCATAAGTATGGCCTCGGGGGTCCGATCGGGGCAATTTTTTTTCAAACACCTTATTTTGAATGGCACAAATCAGAAATCTAACCGGATCGGCCGCCCAATTCCGGGATAGAGAGATATTGCATCCGAACTTCGGGGGCCCATAATTCAGCCTCCGGGCGTTCGATTGGGGCAATTTTTTTTTAAAACGGCTTGTTTTTTGGAGACCTAAGTTGTGGCAAGTTTTCGAATGAGACTTGGCCTCAAAAAAGCCCTAAAATGCCAAAAAAAACGCCTCTAAAAGGGAAATTGGAAATTTACCGATATCCCTTATTCAACTATTTCTAGAGGTGATCAAAGTTAGCCCGCCTGATCCAGTCCGATTATGGGCGGGTTTTTACGGTCCGAAATCGAGTAGGACCCGGCCCGAAAAAATTTATTTTTTTGGGCGGTGTTTGGGAATGTGTTTTTATGCATATTTAGTTGATTTTTTTTGCTCCGATCCGAAAAATGGCCCGAAAAAAGCCCGCGCGGTCACGACCATTTTGGGCAGGTTTGGGCACAAAAAAATTTTTGGCCCGAAGCTTGGCCCGACCCGGCCAGATAAATGGGCAAATTTGTTTGCTTCGGCCCGGCTCGCCCAATGATCACCTCTATATATTTCCTAATATAATTAATCATATTCCTACTATTACTTATCATCATCCTACAATACTAACTAAATTTACTAAGCCATGATATATAGTTTAACTACAAACTAAATGTACATTATACAATACTATACCTAACTTAATAAACAATTAGTAGTTGATAGATATATTACCTACCCGTCATTAACAACAAAATATAAAATGGCTTGTTGGTATGTTGTAATAAGTAATGGACATGAGATTGGGGTTCTAACCCTAACACATACATGCGCTTAATACTTTTTACTACAACATGATAATTTTCTTTTTTTTTTGTGGAAATTTTAATTTCAAAATTATGTACTTTCGTAATTAGTTACGTAATTAAACTTACTAGTCATCCTTTTACTACTACTTAACCGTTTCCGTCACTATTTCTGTCTGTAGGGCACTAGGGCCCACTTAATTAACTTCCTTCCATTTCTACTTGTTCTCTCTCCACGAACCTCAATCATAAAAAACCCACTTCTTCCCGGCAGCCCCACCCGTTCTCCGGTAACCCCACGCCCACCCCTTAACAATAGCCCCAACCACGC